TTGTGAAAGAGTTTGGTCTATTTGTGGATGGATGACAGGAAAAAGAAGAACAAATTTATCAATTGAAAATCTTGAATTATTAGTTAAAATTCATTCTTATTATATTACTAATAGAACATCTGGATTAAATTTATATAATCAAGAACATATAAGTGAAGATACTTATCAAGAATTATATAATGCACAACTTAATGAAGAAAAAGAAGAAGATAAAAATGAAATTGAAAATCAATTAAATATTGATTTAGATGATTATATTTTAGATGATGATGAAGGAACTATATGAGAAAATTTATATTTATTAGAAATAATTGATTTAAAAAATAATATTTTTAAAGATGATGATGATGAACAATTTATAGAAATTTCAGATAATGAAAATGAATTAGATAATTTTATTCAAGATTTAGAAAGTGAAGAAGATTATAATCTAAGTTAATAAGTACAAAAATATTTTAAAGATACTGATGATATTTATTATTATTAAAAATTAAATAATTAAATTTATTATTATTATTTAATTTTATATTATATATATAAAAATTTTTTTCTTAATATTAAGGTTTTTTTTATCTTTATATATATAATATAAAATAGTTTATTAATATTATATTTTTAATATTATTTATTTATTTATATAAATATATTTTTGTTAAACATTTTATTAAAATAAATTTATTTATAACTTATAATTTTTAAAAATATTATATTATAGTTTCAGAGTTTTAGATTATAGTTTCGAAGTTTTGGGTTTTGGAGTTTCGGATTTTTTTTCAAAAACCCAAAACTAGTTTCAGATTAGAACCTTCTGAAACTAGTTTTGGGTAGGTTTCATTTTGAATGCCAACTCTAATTTGACTATCATTAATATGACCTTCTATATATAGAGACTTGACTGTCTGCTTATATATGTTATTTTCTTTACTAACTGTAATTGATTGTATCTTTTAGAAGGTAGTAGTTATATTTATGTGTTTGTAGAAGACAAATGAGTTTGTGTTTATTTTTATTTAATGTTTTTATAAGTGTTTGTGTTAAGTAAACTATGTAGTTCCTATTTTATATACTTATACTAACTCTTATATAGTTTTATCTTATGTTTATACTGACTATTTTATAATGTTCAGAAGTACATTTATATATATCAGCTTGTATTCTTCTATATTTCTAATTATAAACTTTCAGCAATTATTGTCTTTCAGATATGGACACCATGTTTGAGACTTTTAAGTGATCTTCTTAATTAATGTTCTTTTGAATTTCTTTATATAGATTAACTGCAGATCTGTTACCAAGTTTACTTAATTTAAATTACAAATTACAACTAATAAGTTAACATTTTCCTAATCAACATCTTACTCAAGACATGCCAATATTTCTAATTAAGTCAACATCCTACTTAAAGCATACAAGATTTAGTATTCAATATTCATCACCAGTAAGAATTGAACCTTGAACCTTGTCACTTGGGATGCAACAACTTGACCACTTCACTAAGTCATTACACCCTTTCCAAACCTATATCTTTAATAATTAAAAAAACAATAATTTGTCTAAAATTCTAAACAACAATATCATAATATCAGATTCAAACACTATAATAAAAATCAAAAATTTAAACAGAACTTATAACCTAATTATATTACAACACTTTCTTATAAACTTTTTAAATAAACTCTTCTATTGAACTTATAAATACAATTATTGATTCTAAGATAATAATGTCTTCTAAATTTAGTAGACAATTTTCAGAAAAGAATGATGTAAATGAACAGATAGATAAATCCATTTACATGGAGTACCAGGTTAATAACAGCAGATCCAATGTACAGAACAGGTCATGGTATTCTGCACATTATCTGATTGATTTTTAATAATGTAAAGGTACGGTTTTTTCCGAGATGAACAATCACTAAACACAAATTACGAGCAAGATTGACTATTTTGTTCAAGTAATATCCGAAAATATCTGGGTTAAAATAATTAATAAAAATTCTTTAACTTACGTAATTTAATTGGCGTAAGTTTTAATTAACTTACATGTAAAATAACTTACATAACTTACCCATCCCTAATTGCATCCTGTGCGTGATTCTGCGAAAATAAAGTAGGCATATTATCGTTACGGTTATACTTTCTGGCAAAACCATTGAGATTTGGGAGAAATTTCTTTATTTTTGGGATGGGATTTGGGCTTTGAAACAATTTAATTATATTTGGGATTTGGGTGGGATTTTGAGATTTTTAGTTTTGCTAGCATGTACAATTACGGTTTTATGGATACGCCTTATTTCATTTCGTAGACACAACATTTCACCGACAAGTTCATTTCACTGACAATCAATTCACCGACAAGTTCATTTCACTGACACTAAACCTTAATTCTGATACGAACCTAACCCTAATGACGATGACCAGAATTACTTATCTGTGAAATGGGCTGTCGGTGAATCAATTATCGGCGAAATAAACATGTCAGTAAATGTCGTGTCTACGAAATGTTGTCGGTGAAATAAGCGGAACCACGCTTTTATATCATATGAATAGTTACATAAATTTAAAGCAAAAAAAAAAAAAGAATAAAAGTACAACCGCATCGTCTTGCAACGGTAAATTATTTAATCGAAAGGAATACGATTATTATCGATAATTAGAATTTAACAAGTCTTTGTTTATTAGAATTTTATAAGATACCTTTGCTTTTATCAACTGGATTATCTAGTCTTTATCTGGTAGGTATCGGGGTTACCACGTCGGCTTCACACTGCCTAAAGTATAAACCACAAAATAATCTGATTAAATTTATTATTAAATTCAAATAATTAGCAAAAATTCGAATTATTTAGTAAATCTACACGGAGCCTTCTCAAATTAACAATAAAACTTTATTGAAATCATATATCACTTAAAGAAGCTATTTGACTATTTATAGTATTATCACAAATTTCTATTAAGAATTATTATGTTTTTTTAAAAAATATATATAACTATGTAGTTATTCTGTAGCAACATATAACTATATCAAAGATAAATTAAAAATCAATTCTAAAAATCGGATTATGTTATAAAATAAAAGATTAAATAAACTAGAGGTTTTAATTATTAAAATTTTTATTGAGAAAGACCATTAGTTGTTAATATATTTTTAAACTTTGGATTTTAAAAAAATCATTTCACAATACCGGATCATTCCACTAGTTCATGATACGATTATATAATTCCTCACCTGTTGGATAATAATTAGACAGGTGAGGGATTATAATCGTAACATGAACTAGCGGAATGATCCGGTATTGTAAATTAATTTTTTTTATGTGCTACACCAGGTGTGGGATTAGTTGTGTAACATCGATCGACGGTTCCTCTTGCTAATCGGAATTTTAACGTACACATTGATACGTAGTAATACGTAATTTAGCAAAACAATAATAATAAACAAAAACAAAACTATTCCGACTATAATTTCATTACGTATTTCGGTGTATTAAAATGCCGATATCCGCATTTTTATAATAATAAATTATGCAAGCATGAAACCATTAATGCGATTCTAATTATACATACATAATTAGTCATAGTTAGTAAACTTGGTAAAAAAAAAAAATCCATAAAACTAACGTCAATATTAGTTTGTCCAAAGAATTTATATTTTAGAATTAACCATGGATTTCTTAATTTCCCTATTGATTGTTACTATTCTGTTTATAATCTACAAAATCTACAATTATGTAATTCCTAAAGAACCAGATGCTCTTAAAGATATTCACTCGATTTCATACCTTAGTTTAATGATATCGATGATTAGAAAACCAGAAGGAAATGATAAGTTTTATTTACGTTTTAAAAAATATTTTGAAAGGGATGGTGTTGTGAAGGTAAATTTTATTGCAGATAAATTTCATAAGTATTTAACAAAAAAAAACTTATACTTTTTATATGTTTATAGCTTTATTTTAAAGGAAAATGGGTTTGCTTAATATCTGATCCAACAATTGCTAAAGATTTATGTTTAAGAACTGGTAGATCATGAAATTGTCCAATATCTCTATTTATAATTTCTATTTACTAATATTGATACAATATGATTTAAATTATTTCATAGATGCTTTTCCAAAGGTAATGTTTGATGAAATTATGCCAGGATCTATAACTGAACGGCATTTTGGCGTGAATGTTGTACATTCAAATGGTGATGTAAGTTATATTTTATAATTTTATTATATAAAATATTTTGAAAAATCTCATTATTATATTTTTTTTTAGGTTTGGAAGCGACACAGGTCTTTTTTTTTACATCTTTATTTCTTGTTATTTTATTTGTTATTTTATTTGTTTGCTAATATAATATAATATAATATAATATAATATAATATAATATTATATAATAATATATTTATTTATTTAGACGTGTGTGTAACCCTGCATTTAAATCTTTGCCAGTACACCTTTTTGTAGAAAAAGGATTAAAATTGATGGATATTTTCGAAAAAGTTGATAATAAACCTATTGAAGTCAAAGATTTTATGCAAAGGTAATAAAGATGTTTTTTATAAACCTTAAGTCAATTTATTAAAATTTATAAATTTAAAATTAGCCTTATGTTAATTCATTAAAATTTATAAATTCAAAATTTCATAGGTTGACTTTAGACGTTCTTGGAAAAGTTTGCTTTAATTTTAATTTTAATGTAAGCACAAGTTAAATAATATATACTGTAAATTACTGAATATATTGGATAATTTAAAATTTTCAATTTAGAATCTTGAAGATCCACATAATGTCTACGTAACAGCTTACAATGAAGCTCATAAAGTGTTTAGAAATCCATTTTTTTCTCTTATTTCAATTGAACGTATTCCGATTTTGAGACAACTAGCATTTAGAAAAATTGATAGATTAAACAATTTATTAGAGGATATTATTAAAGAAAAACGTAAATCTTTAGCTGCTGGACAATCTAATGGTGATCTTTTGGAACTTATGCTAAAGGCTTGTGAAGATTCCGATAATCCAACATTATCAGATATTGAACTAAGAGTAAGAGACTTTAGAATTTTATTAATATAATATAAATAATACATATTAATTATCTTGTTTTAATTTTACAGCATAATTTAGCCATTTTTATGGTTGCAGGCCATGACACAAGTAATAATTACATTAATTCTGAAAAACCAATTTATAATTTCTTATTTAAAACGTATACCTTTTTTTCCTTATGAATTTAGCTGCAACTGCTTTATCGACTCTTTTATATCTTTTAGCAGTTCATAAAGTAAGTCACATAGTATTACTGTTAATATATTTATTAAACTGCTAAGTATTTGTAATTTCATTTATCTAGGATGTTCAAAGAAAAGCCCGAGAAGAAGTCTTAAAAATACTTGATGATAACCTAACACCATCTGCAGAACAACATGCATCATTAAAGTATTTAAATATGGTTATTCGTGAAAATCTTAGATTATATCCTCCGGTTAGTATAATTTCATTTCAATTTTTAATCAATATCTAAAATTAATAATACATTTATATTTTATTTTTTAATACGTGTAGGTCCCAACTTTGCCATTACGTGTATTAACTGAAGACTTAAAATATAAAAACTTTTTACTTCCAGCTGGTACATTTATTGGTCTCTTTCTATACGGGATACAAAATTCTTCAAAGCTTTGGGAAAATCCTGAAAAGTTTTTGCCTGAGAGGTTCGAAAATGAACACGAGAATTATTCTTGGCTGGCTTTTGGTGGTGGATCTAGAATGTTTGTTGAGTTTATTATGTTCATATTGCCTATTTTTTTATTTTTTATTTTTGTAATAATTATTGACCAATTTGATTTTTTTTTTAAAAAAATAGGTGTTTAGGAACAAATTTTTCTCTTATTGAACAGAGATTGGTGTTATGTTTGCTATGTAGGTTTTTGTAAATTTAATTGTTTTTTTTTTTTTTTTGACTACTTACATATATTATATATATATATTTAGTGCGCAAATATGAAATATCGTTACCACCAAATAGTGTACATAAAGATGGATTAAAAATCCGTAGAGGAATGTCTCCATATCATATCGAGCTTATTTTTAAGAGAAGGAATGAATAATACTTGTTTATTTTTTAATAATTAAATTTTCCATCTTAAATTCTGTTGATTAATAATGGTTATACTTTTGTATTTATCAATCTTTTCATAACATTTGTTGGTTAAAAAAAATCTATCTTAATAAATTTTACCATTTTTATTTGTAACTAATTATATAGAAATAACAATTTAAATGAATAATATTTTAATTGTATAGTATCTTTTAGAACCATAAATAATTATTTCTCACATAAGCTATATATGTAATGAACCATCCCAACGCATGTCCCTAAGAATTATTCTTTGAATGTAAGAAATTTTTATTTCTTTCAAGCAAATTATTAATTTCCTTAACAGTTTCACTATCAATACCGTTAAAAGAAAGATTTAAAGAAGTTATAGTAGTATTTTTGGAAAGAGCCTCTGCTAATATCATTCCTCCGTCAGAACTGATGCAGTTATTTGAAAGATTCAAAGAGACCAAAGTATTGTTATTATGTAAAACCTTTGCTAATAATTTTGCTGATTCATTACCGATATCATTACATCCAAGATTTAGGGTGATTAAAGTGACATTTTCACATAGAGCATTTATTAATCCATTTACACCTTCAAAACCTAGCTTATTATCATAAAGATTTAAATCAATTAGAGTAGTATTCTTGTAAAGAACTTCAGCAAATATCATTCCCTTTTTGGCACCAAGTCTAGTACCATGAAATGTTAAAGAGGTTAAAGTAATGTTTTTACAAAAAGCATCTGCTAATAATTTTTCACCTTCAGAATAAATTTTGCTAGAAGCAATAAACAAATGAGTTAAAGTTCTATTTGTATAAAGAGCCTTTGCTAACCTTTTACAACTTTTTGAGTCAAGATCACATTTAAAAATACTTAAATGAAATAAAGTAGAACTTTCAAGAAGAGCTTTTTCCAATGAATTCATTAATTTTTCCTCAATATAATTAACAATTATTAACCTATGAAGCTTGTGACTTGTTCGTAAGAGCATTGAAATCAAAGAATTTTGAATTGATAGAATTACATTATCTTTTCTGGAATAAATTAAATATTCATGTCTTTCATGATTAAACCAGTTTAAAATTCCTTTTCTTAAAGAAAGATTGATATTTGTAATATAAAATGTATATTCAAATAATGGTTTTGTACCATTTGGGAGTTTTATTTTAAATGGTATTAATTGTGTTTGTTCTTCAGTATTTAAAGATAAAAGTAATGTTCTTATTGATTTTTTACTTTCTAAAGAAACTACTCGACTCCATAATACTGGTACAACATTTCTACACCAATGACGGTTAATAAGAAGACATGAAAATAAGCTACTATTATTAAGTTTAACAAATATTTGAACAAAGCATTCGTTTGGTAAAGTAATCATGCTAAATCGAAATGATTTAACGTTAAGGAATTGACAATGTATGTAGGTACATACATACTTACATGACAGGTTTTAAGTTCTTATTCTAAATAAGTTAAGGACTAGTATAGAACCCTAGTCAGAAATCGGTCCAACCCTGGCGGTTTAATATACAATGTAGATATTTTTGTGAATTACAGGTGGATTACAGATGGTGTAACAAATGAATTACAGGTAGCGTAACTGTAACGGTAAACAGTTATTAAATTCACCAATCGGTGCACAAGTACAATTTATGCAGTGTGTAGATCATTACATAACCCCGATTTTTTTTGTGATTAACTATAGTTGGTAATTTACCCTTCGTGATCTATTCGAGGAATTATGTAATGTAGCTTTCCTTATGAAAAGATTATTTTTACCTTCATCAAAAGATTATTATAAATTTTCCTCATGAAAAGATTGCTTTTTTCCCTTCACAAATTGATATTGTAACTTCCTTATAAAAAGATTAAATGTTGGGTGCGTGACAGTAATAAAAAGGTAATTGATTATATGAAGGGCTCTGTGTACCTAACTTCACACAGAATTAATTATGTATATTCCCAAAATCTGACTACAAATTCGATTGGAATTAAATAAAATTTATTAATGGAAGGAAGGATTTGCATGTGAAATATGAACAATTGTGTTGAAGTTATTAATACATAAGTTGATGATAATTTTTTCATTTATTTGGTCAGGTCTTCACAAAAAAATCACTTTATAAATCTTGGGTACAACCACACTCCTTATTTACTTTTTAATAATATTCAAATAGGGTGGACCAACTGCAGGGGCGATTAGGAAAATCGATAGTAATTAATATCGAACAATGTTCAAAAAAAAAACAGACAGACACACTTGCCCAAACACAGTCACAAAAAGCAATTATCAGAATTATGTCATCGAATAATGTTGAAGAGAATTAATTAATTGGCGCAAATTATTTTGTTAATTAAATGCTTCACCAACTTGACACATATCTAAGAAGTGTTATTCCAATATTATGTGATGTAGCAACTAATTAGACCCCAAAAATTTGTGCAAATTACAACTTCATTGACATTTATTGCAAGTAAAATTGAAGATAAAATATAAATTATTACAAGTTGATCGTTGATTAAATTCGAGATATTTATGGTTTAGTTACGTTAAAAGTGCCAAGAGAACAATAAATAAAAAAATAATTCTTGTCAAGGCTTATTTTATTAATGTTCTTAAATTCTACAACTTAACATTTTTGTCAATATATTTCTTGCATATCTATCTAAAACAAACTCTGTGAGAACTTGTGATGCAATTGGAGTTGGTTTGCCACTCGACATTATTAGTGTTAAAATTAAGCGTATAGATTCTAATCTCTGATGGATTCTAATTAAGTCTATTGAAATTCCTTCCCAGATAAACATTATACATGTAATAATAATTATTCAAAAAATTATAATAAACAAAAAAAATCAATTATTATTTTTCTTACATCAACACCTGCTTCTATCCAAACTCAGAGGAATCTCTTAGTGAACTAAACTCAATAAAAAATTTGGGCAATTAGTTGGAACGCTTGTTTTTTTTGTCTTCATCAGATAATGTGTCCCACCTGAATATTGGAAAATATAAATTAACAATTGTGTAAAGAACGAAAACTGTCTTTATATTTAATAACATTCAGAAACATGGCTTTGAGGACGACAGCACAATGGCAATTCATATAAATGTAGCAGTATTTTGACATAATTAGGCACAAAACTTGGGATAATGTTGCCAATTGAAGCAAAGTGAATCCCACCAGCATAAATGTTACGTGCTATTTTCTAAATTAAATTGATGATTAATTAACAATTGGCAAGTGATTCAGGCAATGTTTAAAATTCAATTAAATTGTAGTAAAAATTATATGTATTGAATTGTTTTTCTTACTTATTTTTTCATTCAATTCTTGATGCTAATCATGAAGCTAAATAAAACTAATGATAATCACGTATTAAATTGATTTTAATTGTTAAAATAATGCTTTTTCTGAGTTGTAAAAATGAAACGCGTAGAGTAATAACATTATCATTATTTGGGTTAATTAGTGGAATATACAATCCATATTTTAAGCCAAATGTGATTTGCAGTAGTGGTAACGATAATATGTAGGGTGAAATCTAAATAAAGAATGTAATTTAAGAGTAATAAAGTGAAAGGACGCGTAAAAAGTATGCTTACCAATAATACGAACCATAATTTGATGTGACATGTATACTTACAGTTGCAACAGCAGCTATTTGATCCCGTGAAAGTTCCAGATAAAGTATAAAATTTCTAGAATAAAAGATCTTAAATAATCAACACTGTAAACAAAGGTTAAGTGATGTATGCATTCATTCTACCTGAACAGGGATAGTCCTTCGCTTTGATCAGCCAGACAATTAATAAAAAAGAATTTGAAACCCAACTTTTTTTTCATTGAGCAGAGATTAGTGATATGTTTATTATTAAATTAAAGTAAATTAATCCTTTTTTACGCATGTACAACATGAAATATCATTACCTCAAAATAATATACATAAAGACTAATTAAAAATCTGGGGAAATGTCTCCATATCCAATGACTTATTTTAAAAGAAGGAAAGAATAATGTTCGTTTATCTTTTATAATTAAATTTTAACCTTAATTTCGGTTTATTTATAATACTGTATATGTTGATTGATAAAAATCCAAATAAAATTTACTATTTATATCTGTAACTATGTAGAAATAACCATATTATTTTGATTGTATAGTATCTTTCAGAATAATAATAATAACTTCTCATATAATCTCATATAATCTTATATAATCTCATATAAAACTAGTATGTAAAGAACCACATCCTTAACGTTCATTCAATGAACATAAGGAACGTTTATTTCTTTCAAGTAAATTATTAATTCTACAAATCATTTTACTATCAATACCATTAAAAGAAAGGTTTAAAGAGGTTAAAGTAGTATTTGTATAAAGAGCCTCTGCTAATATATTTCCCCCTTCAGAATTAATGCAGTTAGCTGAAAGATTTAAAGAGACTAAAATAGTATTCTTATGAAAAACTTTTGCTAGAGATCTTACAGATTCATTATCGATATTATTATATCCAAGATTTAGAATAGTTAAAGTGATATTTTTACAGAGTGCATCTATTAATACATTTACACCTTCAAGACCGAGCTCATTACCATAAAGATTTAAATCAGTTATAGTAGTATTCTCATAAAGAATTTTAGCAAATATCTTTCCCTTTTCGGCACCAAGTCGAGTACCATGAAATGTTAAAGAAGTTAAAATAGAATTTTTACAAAAAGCATCTGCTAATAAATTTTCACCTTTAGAATAAATTTTGCTAGAAGCAATACATAAATGAGTTAAGGTTCTATTTGTATAAAGTGCCTTTGCTACCCTTTTACAAATTTTTGTGTCAAGATCACATTTAAAAATACTTAAATGAGATAAAGTAGAACCTTTAACTAATAAATCTATTACAATATCCTCAATAAAATTATCAATAATTACTTTTCGAAGATTAAGAGTAGTTCGTGAAAGCATTGAAATCAAAGAATATTTAATTGCCTGAGTTACATTATCATTTATGGAATAATTCACACGATAATAAAATTCATGTCCTTCATTATTAAGCCAATCTACAATTCCACTGCATAAAGAAACATTGATACTTGTAATATAAGAAGTATATTCAAATAAAAGTTTTGGTCCATTCGGAAGTTTAACTTCAAATGGAGTTAATGATGCTTGTTCTTCAGCATTTAAAGCTAAAAGTAATGTTCTTATCAATTTTTTATTTTCTAAAGTGACTACTTTACTCCATAATACTGGTGCAACATTTCTACACCAATGACGGTTTACAAGAAGGCATGGAAATAAGTTACTTTTATTAAGTTTAGCAAATATTTGAACAAGGCATTCATTTGGTAAAGTAATCATATTGAAAATAATTTAGGGAATTGGCGTACGTAAAGTATGTACATGTCAGATATATATGCAGAAAATTGCAGATCATTACCAATTGAACTAAACATACAGCTGGGATAATTCCGGTTACTGTAGTTACATAACGATACGTAATAATTGATTAACTATATACAGTATAGTATAGTGCTTCTAGGCTGTGCAACTCCTCCAGGAGTCTGGTATGAAAAAAAAAATCTTAAAACCTGATGTCTAAACCGGCCTTGGCCACTAATTAAAAATGGTGTGAATGCAATTTTACGTTTATGAAGTAATCTTTTATAATATATCCATAATGCCAACCCTAACAAGCAAGCCAAACATATAAAGTGCTGCAAAAGCGTCTAGATAAAATTTAAGGTAATTCTGATTAAAATAAGTATGTAATGATGAATCAATGATGCGTGACGAAATTATTTTTGCATTAAAAAATGGGTTCTTTAATGGTTTCGTCTAACACAAATTTTGACGATTGACGAAATTGTTGACGATTGACGAAATTGCTATTGCTGACGATTGACGAAATTGTTTATGATTGACTGATAAACGAAATTACTTACGATAGACTAAAATTTAAGAATATTGTAAATTGTAAATTTTTGTCAAAATTACAGTTATTTCATAAATTTAATCGGGTACATATGAACACAGTAATTTTTTGACAACGAACTTTTTTCTATTAAATAGTCAATTATAAAAAAAGTTATCTTCATAAGTTAATAGATTTAATTTTTAACTTTACAATCTTGTACCCATCGAATAAAATCGGAGACTGGTGCATATCAACGGGTAATATCGGATATGCCAAAAATCGTTAGTTATTATTGATGTAGAATAGTTGTCATTTAATACTATTTTTGATCACCATTTGTTTATAAAACCAAATTTTACTTCAATTAAGGCAACATTAAGCATTTTACTTACATGATTTTTATAATTTTTAATGTCTGCAAAAAATAAAACAAAAGGTTTAGTAATCGTCCAGAAATTATCTTAGTTCTCCAAACTTTATGCAAACTCAAAGTATTGAATCGTCTATGCGAAAGGATCATAAAAGCACAAAAAACAGTCATTAAATATACTAAAAAAAATAAAAAGTATTTCACCTTTTATTGGACCATATTTAATATGGTCAAATGAATTTTAACAATTATGTATTCATGTATAGGTCTAATATAGATTTTTAACCAATAGACTGGAGAGCTTGATTTTTCATATGTTAACCCGATTAAAACCAGTTTCATGTCATTGTTCGGGTTTACGCAAAGTGATACAAAATGAAACATATCGAAGATCATATTAGAAACATAATCTGTAAAATTTTTTTCTCGTGTCTACAATCTACCTAGTTATAATGAACTTCATATACTCGTTATGATATAATGCTATACGTAGCAGATATTTATTACGTACAAAATTTCTCAGCCCAATCACTATGTGATAATGAAGATATAAATAGTCTAAAAACTGTAACATCATATTTGTTATCGTATTACCCCTATTTAGACTTTTTCAGGCTAGACGAGAAACAATTGGCGATCATATTTACTATTTGCTTTACTGTAACAGAAATATTGTCATTTATAAGTTTGTGAAACTCGTAAGATCGTACAGCATAATACGTATGAGCTAAAGTGACCCTTTTTTTGGATTGGCCAAGAAAAATGGGTTCGTCAAAGATGATGCTTTTGCTCAATTTTGGTAAAAAAAAAAAAAAAAAAATATTGTATTTATACTCATCAAATAATAACTGGATAAATATTTTGATCGATAAATGACTATTATACTTGTAGAACAAATAAGAAAATTTGATGAGGCGTGAATAAATTATTGTAAATACATCAATCATTAAATGATTAATCATTTATTAATCAATAAGATATTGATACTGTATAACCGCGAAATAACTCAGGATTGTAATTTCAAATTTCGGCCTAAAATAAGCTTAATTTGGGCCATTATTCAAAATAATGCCCTTGTGCGTTATTTGACGGTTATATGATAAGTGGTTAAAATTAGTGACAAGATTTCTTGCAATGTAAGTTACCCACTTGATAGCAATTATATTTTATTACTTATACTGCAAGAAAAAAATGATCATTCTCTATCATAACCTGATCGTTAAAAGTTCATATTTAAGATTTGATACGTACACATATTTTTACGTTTTTTGCTCAATACGTCCTACACAATGTGACAAATCATACTTCTGATACGTGATGCATATGCATGTATATGCACTAGTAAGAGTTACGTTTTAAACTTAAACTTATTATGAAAGGGCGTTTATTAACGATAACAGAAAGCTCACTGCATTATAAAAGCAGCCAATTAAGTTTATTTTACTATCAATATCCTTTGAATTTCATATTTAAAAAGAACATCTTAAAGAAAATATATTATCGTAATGAATTTGGACAATTCAGACGAAGAAAGTAATTCTAGTATAGTCAAAAAGAAGCTAACGCCCTTAACAAAAAGGGAATCAATAGGATGGTATTTTCTTTGTGCAGCAGTAAGTTTTGACCAACCATTTCGTATTAAAAAAAAATTATTATTTTTTGTTTATTTTGTTTATTTTGTGACAATAAATATTATCATATTTGCCAAATTTAAGATAAATTTCTTCTTCGTAGAGCGGGATTTATGGCGGTGCACCGATAGGAGGTGAATTCTTTTTCTGCTCAATATGAAATATTTTGTCATATGATCTTATTTGTATATACTATTATTAATATACTATTATGAATATAGTGCTCATTCCTTTATTCTTGGAAAATCTAGCGAGCCGGGCTGGATACGAGCTTGATCAAGTGACTCCATGTAACACGGTAAGTATTCTATATTATACATGTAGTTTCGTTACAATTAACCATTCTAATTGATTAATTAAATAATAGACGGTTGCAAATTATAATTGTGTTGTACGTTTTGGTACAGGCTTTATCGATACCAACTCATATTCATTATATATAATTTCAATCTCAGTATTTGTACAGACAATCTTGTTCATTAGTTGTGGTTCTTTAGCCGATCATGGAAGTAAGTATATATTGTAGTAAATTTATTTTTTTATAATTAAAAATTAAAAAACTTTTTATGCGTTATTTTAGATATGCAAAAAATGTTCGCCTTGCTTTACGGCTTTATAGGTGCCATTACGACGATTTTGTTTATAACCGTCACTAGTCCTCGTACGTGTCTGTATTTTTCTTTTGGAACCATTGCGTTTAAATTTATATAAAATAAAAATATATCAATAATTGTGTTTACTTATTTACTTATAAACCCATTGTTAAAAAAAATTTTAACAGAACAATATTTGTTGGCTGGAATATTCGCTATTATATCGTAAGTTATATCATAAGTTATATTGTAAGTTTTTGATCATAAATCCTTTATTAAAATTTATGTTCTTACAATAATTCAATTAGAAATTGTTGTTACGGTGCAACAAACATCTTTACTATTGCGTATATCCCAATATTTGCTCGAAATCATCCAAAGATTATAGATGCAAAAAATTCTGATATGTCTATCTCCGAAATCAAATTTTTAGAAGATAAAATGACTGTAAAATTATCATCGAATTCATTAATTTCAGCATTTTTTGCTATTATGATAATAATGTTTGCTGCTGGTGGAATTCTTGCATTATTAAAAGGTTCTCCGTATGCTATTCAAATTGCATTAGCATTTGCAGGTTTTTGTTGGTTGGTATGTGTTAAATATCAAACTTACTACTCAAAATATATAAATGTGAACATTAAAAAATATTATATAAATTATTTAGATTCTATTAATATTTCCAGCAATGTGGATAACTAAGAGGCAAAAACCTCCTTTACCAGAGTATTTATTATTATTATTATTATTATTATTATTGTTATTTTCTTGTTATTTTATTAATTATACTAATACTGTACATGTTTTAATAAATGTTTAATAGTGGCGAAAATTTTTTATTATACTCTTGGAAACGTGTAGGAAAAACGTTATCATCAACCCGTTCACTCTGGCAAACTATGAAATGTCTTTTTGGTTGGTTTCTTTTATCTGATGGTGTAAGCACATTAATAGTAGTAGGAGTTCTGTTCAGTAGAAAACAACTTGGATTGAATGACGCAGAAATCTCTATAATTACATCATTAGCTCCAATATTCGAAATTTTTGGCATATTTATGTTACTTTATTTACAAAAACTATTTCATTTGACTGAAAAAACACTCGTTGTAATCTCTTCTATATTTGCAAGTGTATTACCATTATATGTAATATTGGGTTTTTGGTTACCATTTGGATTAAATAACAAATGGGAAATTTGGATGTATTTGATATGGTTCGGAATTGCTATTGGTTCGATAAATAATTATTGTCGAGCTCTCTTCGCTATTATAATACCTATTGGACATGAAAATGAATTTTTTTCTTTATATCAAATGACTGCAAAGGTAATTTCATAAAAAAAGTTTTTTATATATTGCCTTATTATTGTACATCATTAAACATTATTATTTTATTTTTTAATACGAAATAGGGTTCAAGTTGGATAGGTAAATCCCTTTCTTTTTTTTTAAAAAAAAAGAAATTTAAATCATAAATATATTAATTAAATTCTTATTATAATTATGTAGGTACTATTGTATCAGGAATTATAGTAAATTATACTCATAATATAAGAAGTCCTTTTATATTTTTACTTGTAATAATTTTTTTGCCTGCTTTAATATTTAGCACTATTGATGTTAAGAAAGCTAAACAGGATGCTGAAGCATTTTCTAGTAAAGGAATTGATAATGAAATCGAATAAAATTAATTACACAATCTTTAAAAGAATATTTTTTTTTAATAGTTAACATGTATTTATTTTACTTTAACTAGATAAGAGTTGTTAAATGACGGGTTTTATTAAATTTATAAATATGAGTGACGAAAAGGGAAAACCTGTAAATCATTTCACTCATTGAGTGAGATGATTTACAGGTTTTCCATTTTCGTCACTCATATACTGTATGATAATAAAACTAAATTTAGCTGATTAATTAAATTGTTTATTAAAATGAAGGTGGTATTGTTTAAAATTTTACTATGAAAGCAATAACCTATTAATTAAATAAAGTTGTTTAAATAATAATTTGCTATAATCATAGTGTTAACCTAACTTTGAAAATCTTTAACTTTAAAGTTTGGCCAATTTGTTTAATTTAGGTTGCATCTTATAAAAGAACATTGGCTAATGTAAATTAATTGCTTAAATAAACTTATTTATATAGTAATATTTATTAATAAAAAAAAGTACTATAAAAGCGTTAAAATATTTATTAAAATAACTACGAATTCTATTAAAATTATGTCTACTTTCAATATAAGTTTTAATAACTTTTACAAAATTTATAACTTTGATTATATTTGAACAATATTGTAAAAATTGTTGGTTTATAAGTATTTTATTTCAAAAATAATACCCTTTTGGTGTTTTTTTTACTATTTAAATATATAAAAATTTTTTGATTTGCAATTATTATTACAAATATAATTAAATCCATTACTGTTATATTTTAAATATATTTATATTATTTTAACCAAAACTAATTAAAAATAAACTAGCAATATATGATTATTATAAAAGATAAAATAAGTAACGATCTATACAAATTTATTAATTATATTTTTTAAATATTTATTTTAATAGGTTTTCTTCAACCTATCCTAGCTTAAACATAATTTGCAATAATTAGTAAATAATACTTATAGAAAATAAGAATGTAATATTATATTAGATGCCTTTTTATAGTATAAATATAGTTAGGAATCTATAAATTTAAAACTTTTTGTTTTTATATATATGTAATAAAGTTTCTATTTTGATATTATTAAAATAAAAATGTTTATCTATTTACTTTAATAAATATAAATATATATACGTATTTTATTATTATTATTATTATTATTTATAATAGTAGTTTATTAATAATTTAAAGTTAGTTATTGCAACTATTTTTTATAAACATAAGAGTATAACTAGTTATATGTGCAACTTTTGGTTATTTATTTAAATAATTTCTTTAAAGTTCTATATTAGATGCTATTTCTATAATCTACTAAGTGATTATTTATTTAAATTTTCTAATTATCTGCTTCTACTAAACTTTAACCTGCTACTAACTTCTTATATATAATTATGTATATTGTCTAACTAGTATATTCTTTTCTTTTTTGAACATGTATACAGCTTTTATTTATTTTAGAACATTTTTTTTTAAAATGAGTAGCAATTGCTTAGCCAATCTGTTAATTTTTATTAGTTAGTAATATTCTAAGTACTTATATAGTTCATGAGAGTACAGTTAGTCATATATACAACTTTAGTTAATATTTATTTAAAGGTTCTACTCTAAGATTATCTACTGTCTGCTATATCAGATCTTTGCTTATAAGTGCTTTATTTAAACTCTTTGGCTTATCTAATCAGTACTTATATAACTTTAACTATTTTATTTAAAGGCTAAATAACCTTGTTGCTGCCTCTTATTGAGAACCATTCAGATTTGACTTCATTCTTCTTTATACTATTATTCAGATTATAAAAAACCCATCATCTGGCAGTAAAACATAAAAATTCTTCTTATTAATTTATCTATTCACTTTACAAACCTTAACAGATTTATATATTTGCAAAGTTCACTCAGATTTTAGTATTATTTTATAATATATTTCTAATATTTTAGTATACCTTTGCTTCTGTTTTTTAAATTTTAATTCAAATGATCTATATAGAGCTACAATTAGTCTATTACTATATCAAATTGGCTCAATATTTTTTTTAGTTTTTTTAGTTAGAATTTTAGCAGTTTGATTGGTAGTACCTTTTACTTAGAGATTTTTGTCTATTTGGTTTCTTTATATTAGTATCATTTTCTAAATCTAGTTTTTATAGTAGTACTATTAAAGATTTGTATTATTTTTTTACTTGAATCTTTTCAAATAGGCTTTTTATTTTTCAATTTCAACAGATTTATATAGTCATAAAAACTTATCTTAGGTTTATATTGTCTAATGCCAGTTTGTATTCTTCTGTATAATTAGTTATACAGATGTCTTATAATTTGCTAATTATGCTAATATATTTATTATTACAGATATATTAATTAAATTATTAGAAACAGTTATTATAACACAATAGAAATTCAAATTTTTGCTATTAATAGGTTTTAAACTTCTAACTTGCTATTTAAAAAAGTAACAACTTGTTTATTTCACTAAGTTGTTATCTTTTATTTTAAAATATATTACTTAATAGCAATCTTAAAAGAGTCTTTTATTATTAATCTACTTATTTTATAGTTTTATTAACAGAGTTATGCTTTTGCAAAGTTTATTTAAACTATAATATCAACTTTATAGCATATTTTTAATATTTTAATATACTTTTGCTTTGTTTTTAAACTTCTAATTTAGATAATCAAAAGAATTGTAACTTGTTTTTGATATACTAAATCTAATCTAATATACTTTTCTTTAGTTTGAATCTAATAACTAGATTAGTAATATTTTTTATCTAAAGATTTTTGCTTATCTAATTTTTCTATATTAATATTTATTTTTTAAGTTTAGTCTTAATAATTGTATTGTTAAAAGTTTTTATTATTTCTTTACTTAGATATTTCTAAATAGGTTTTATTTTTTTGTTTTTATAAACACAAAATCTTATTTTGAGTTTGCATTATCTAGTATTAGTTTGCATTCTTCTGTATAACTAAGTTTATACAGATAATCAATAAACTGTTAGTCATACTAGTATAATTATAGTTACAAATTTTTATTTTAATTAATTAACAGAAAACAGTTACTAAAATACAAGTTTTGTTTAAATTTTTATTATTAATAGGTTTTGAACTTCTAATTTGCTATTTGAAAGAATATAAACTTATCTATTTTACTAAGTTACTACATTTTATAAAATATTTTAAAATTATTTACTAAATATTGTTTTAATATAATTTAAATTATTTTAATAAAATAATTTAAATAATATATCTATTTTTTTAAATAAGCAATTAATTACTTAGCCAAATTAACAATTTTTATTAGTTAGTAATATTTTAAATACATTTATAATTTGTAAGAATATAGCTAGTCATATGTACAATTTAATTTATTGTTTATTTAAGGGTTATGCCTTAAGGTTACTTACTATTTGCTATATTTAACTTCTGCTTGTAGGTTCTTATTTAAACTCTTTGGCTTATTTAATCAGTATCTATATTACTTTAACTATTTTATCTTAAAGTAAGTAATTCTATACTGTCTTATATTAAGAACTATTCAGGTTTAACTTTATCTCTTTTTTACTAATATTCAGACTATTGTCTTTTAGCCTATTATTTAATAGTAAGGTTTAGAGAGCACTTTAATTAATTTATTTACTTACTTTATTTGCAGAGCTTATCTGAATTCTAATATTACTTTATTGCATATTCTTAATACTATAGTATATCTCTGTTTCTGTTTTCAAACTCTCAATTTAAATGGCTCACAATAACTACAGGATTCTTTTTCTACATTACCAACAACTAAGATATAACCTATTTGCATATAGCTCACAATATATTTTTAAAAAATTAAAACTCAAGTTATTTATATATAATAATAATAAGATTATTATTAGTAAAATTTGCAGATACTTATTTTTTTTATTTTATTTATTAAGGCTGATATTAATAGTAGCTAATGCCTTTATTTGTTTTTAGTTAATATATTATATATTACTTGTACAAAGTAAATATATAACTAGTTATATATGTAACTTTTAGTTACCTATTTAAATAGTTTGGCTGAGGGTTCTATGCTAGCTGTTATATCTATAATCTATTTGAACTTATCTAATTAAACACTCTAGTTCCTATACTGCATCTAGACAATTAGCTATCTTAGTTCTTGTACATTTAAGTGCCATCTAATCTAATATTATGCTACTTTTTCTATATATCTGTCAAGCTGTTATCTAATTTCAAAGCATGTTACTTGATTGTAGGTCTTAGAAAGCTCTCTGTTAACTAATCTATCTACTCTAGAACTATTAATAGGATTTATTCTTGCAGAGTTTATACAAACCTTAGCAATTACTTCATAGCATATTTCTAGTACTTTTAGTATACTTCTGTATTTTCTTCAAACTTCTAATTCAGATAGCCTAGTAGATTTATAATCAGTTTATTAGTATATAAAATTAGCCCAATATCCTTTTTCTTCAAATTTTTGGTTAGAATTTTAGTAGCCTGGTTGGTAATACTTCTTATCTAAAGGTTTTTGCCCATTCAGATAATTTACATTGGTATTTATTTTCTAAGTTTAGTCTTTATAGTAGTACTATCAAAGATCTATATTACTTTTTTATTTAGGTCTTTCCAAATAAGCTTCTTGCTTTTTAATTTCTACAGATTTACATAGTCACAAGAACTTATCTTGGGTTTGCATCATCTAATGCTGGTTTGCATTCTTCTGTATAACCAGTTACAGAGATGCTTCATAACTGTCAGTCATGCTGATGCAACTATAATTACAGATATTTTAACCCAATTATTAGAAACAGTTTCTGTAATACAAGTATTATATAAGTGATTATTCAAATTTTTGTTGTCAATAGAATTTGAACTTACTACCTACTATTTGAGAGTTAACAACTTATTTATTTTACTAAGTTGCTATACTCCTAAATTTGCAGATACTTTAAAAACATTAATTAAATATTTATTATATATTAGCAAACTAATATTAATATAAATTACTTTGGCTATTATTTTCTTTTATTAGCTCAATGCCTATTCTGCCTAGACTATTATTTAAACTCCAATAAAATTTAAAATCTTTGTACAATCAATGTATTTGCTATTATCTCTTTTTAATTTCTAAGAAAAATTAATTTTATCTTAGTAAACTTTAAAGCCAACTATATAAATCTTATTTATTTAACAGCTACTAAATATTTACTATTAATTTTTTTAGTGTCAACAATTTTAATTTCTAACTTTTATATATTTAAAATATTTAAAACTAGTAAAATACAAACATATTTAAACAATATTTGATTTTTAATAGCTTTTAACAACAATTTAACTTTTATACTAATAGCTTAGTAATTAACTTTGAAACTGACCAATGTACAATAGGTATTGGTTATGTTTAAGTTAATAATAATAATTAAATTATCTACAAATTTTTTGCTAAGATATACTTTTGGCTATTATTTTATAAAGCAAAACTGATAGTTATTTTTTTTAGCTATTTCTCTATATCTCAAAATTCAATAGTCAACATCTATATAATTTTTAATTTATTATTACTAAATACTTTAATATTTATACTATACTTTACAATTCTAACAAACTTTAAGTCTTCTGCAAATTTCTTCAACAAATTTTTTTTTGAATTATGATCCTGGCAGAATTGTTATCACCCTTTGAACTTGAACTTGTGATTTTGTAATTGAGACCCAAAAGCATTAACCATTGTGCTATTAACTTATGAGTTTTTTAATCAAATAAAATTAAAAAATATAATATAACAAAATAATTAGTCTTATTTTAATTAGTATAAATAGTAAAATATTATAATTTACTATAGAACAAAAAAGTATAGATACAAAATTATTTTGAATAATTATAGCAAAAAGCAATATAATAACACAAATAAAGCAAATTTACAAATTTATATTATAAAAAAAAATAAATATATTTATTAATTTTATAATTTAAATACTTAATTGTTTTGAAAAATTCAATAATATTTCAAACAAAAAAAAATGATTTTAATGTATTAAATCAAACTTTAAACCTATTCAGAAAATAATAAATACATTAAAATTTTAAACAAGCAAAAAAGATTCCAAAAATCTAAAATGAATATAACAAAAACACATTTTATTGATAGTATTAATTCAAATTTAAAGCTTTATATATGTAATAAATAAAATTCAAAGCTTTATGCATGTATTAAATAAAAGTTTAATCTGGATATAAATGCATTTTATATATTCATATTGAATGTAATTTTTAACTTAAAATTTGGATAATTAAATAAATTCTAATAAGTTGAATAAAATATAAAAAACTTTAATTCTTTAAAAAATCTTATAATCTCATGATTCTGTTATTATTGGGCGCAGATTGAAATTTAAAAAGTGATTATGTAACCAATCGTAATGGTTGGTGAAACAAGGCGGATTCTATGAAAAAATTCTGTTCCAGGTTTGTCGATCATTGTGGCACAGATCTCCATGTACAAATCGGGAAAGTTCAAAACAAACATTCGGTTTGTCAAAAATTATATATTTCTCAAAAACCACATATAGAACCACTTTTAGCGCTTTAACAAAATTTTGTCACGCATAGTGATCGACTAAACTTGGCACAGAATTTTTTTAACATCCCTAATATGTAGTGACCCTTATCCATTCAACAGGGGGAACCGTAACATCATTTGTGGCTCTGTTATACAATTTATAAAAAACTTTTTCTATATTGTTTTAAGTATTCCCTCAAAAAGCTCACGTTACTTACCCCACTTTGAAACGTGAAGTAGTGCTTTGTAAACTTGAGGGCTTCGTACATTAATTTAATAATATCAGTTTAATCCCAGTAAATCCCACAGCTTTTATATGACGATTTATCTTGCAAAGGTATATATGTAACTAAGTAAATTAAGAAATACTGAACAACAATTCCTAGGCGTTGAGCAATAAAAACTAAAAAAAAGTAAAAGCAACGATCTAATAAAGGTAAGGTGGGTTTGAGAATTAATCTATAATACCTTTTCTGATACGTTTATAAAAAAAAACCTATAAAAGCTTAAAAAACTTAATAATATAAACTATCTTTTTTTATTTTCATACAATTTTTAATACAGTACAGAAAGACAATATAAAAAGTATCTAAGATAAGATTGTATAAATAACTGTTGTATGATTAGAGATCATGTGAGATATCTGGGAGATTATATACATGAAAGTCTTTATAAATTATATACACGAAAATCGTTATAGATAATGATATTAGAAGTTAGTTAATGAATGAATGAATAGAACAATTATATGCTTACTCATTTAACGAAAAAATATATTGTATATATTCTAAAGTTAAATTCATATACTGTAGCTTCGATTTTATCTTGTTTTATTCATTTAAAACTTGGCTAAACAACATATGACAATACATAAACATTATGTAACATTGGACGGGTCTTTCCGAAAAATCCGATGATCATGCAATGTATTTCCTGTTGGTTGACAATCATAATTCCGAATTTGATAAATCGGACTTTTTAAACTTATAAATATACCTTAATTATACTTCTATAAGATAAATCTTATTACAGTATAAAAAAAAAATTGTCAAAATTTGGGATGACAAGTTATGCAAAACGAATGAAAGTTAACTTTTCGTTGCCTAAGTAAGGCTTTGGACCTAGAAAAGTTGCTGTTTATTACGTACGTACTTGTTTATAATCTTTGCGTAAAAAATAGTTTGGGAATGTAGCTATCCTAATTAACGTTAATGCATTCATTGAGTTTATCAGGTGATTTACTTTTTAATAATATGCAAGTCTTTCCTGGTATTTCCTAATGTAAAAAATTGTCAAAGTTAGTCATACTTAATGCCCAATTTCATCACAGCAAAGAATTTCGAACTTAACTATAAAATGCATATTTATATTATAGAATGCATATTTATTATTAATTTTAATATTTTAGACAAAGTAACATCGAAATTTTCTTGCATCATTTTAATAACAAACAAAAAAATGTCAAATTATGTGTCACTCATATCGGCTAATTATTATCCGGTCCGTAATGTATAACTGATATACAGTTATCAAAGTATATTTGACTTATAAAAATGCGCTTTCGCCTCTCAAGCGGTGATTAAAAAATTTGGTATTTCTTTTAAAGAATAAGACAAAATGCTTCTAAAATATTCATTTTCATTATTTACTCTTTGTCGCTTAATCATATTTATTCTCTTTTTCGTACATTCTGCTTTTGAATCTCAGGTGTCATCTCAATTTATTCAACGAGATCCATTATTAAACAGGTCAAATGTACCTAAGAATATACTTGCTACTTCCTATCTTGGCGGTAAATAGTTATTAATTCTGTTGTCCCTATTACTATAATTATCGTAATCACCATAATTAACTTTAATAAACTATAGGAGGAAGTCATCTTGCTCCGATGTCTGAAATTTTAAAGATTTTGATGGATCGTGGATATAATGTAATTGGTGGATTTTTTTTGATTGAAATGATTAGGATTGTCATTTTGACTGTTATTTTTATCTAATTAGTCTCTTCGATCCTCAGGTAACATTAGCAGCACCAGGAAATTTTACTGCAAATTCCCACTCTTATCGTTCGATTCCACAGGTTATTGTCAGTAAAAAAGCAGGCACTGAACTTGGAAATCAAGAATTGATGAAAAAAATGTTCTTGGAAGAAACAAATGTTAGAAAATTCAGTGGAGCATTTGATCATAGCGCTTACACAGAATATTATAAAATATATAAACAAACTGCTGAGGAAATCAACGTCGATTTATTTTTTTGTGATATTGGAATGAATTTCGCATGTTTTGATCTTGCTTGGGAATTAAAAAAGCCTGTTGTTGGGTTCGCTTCTTCTCCATTCTTTGGTATGTACTGTATATTTACTCAATTTATAAATGTATTAGTTAAAAATTAATCCTATATGCATTTTCTGTTACATTAAATAGCTGTCATTCCACCACCATATAAATCGGATCCTATTTTTGGATGCCATGTGAGCATGGAAAATGAATCTTTCTATGAAAGATTTAATTGTGCCATTATAAAACCTTTAAAACTTGCCTGGCTCTTTATTTCAATGGCGGATAATATGAATTCTCAAAGAGTAAAGTTAGGTATTGAATCTTATTGGAACCCAAGAGCACGAATGGATAACATTTTAATTTTGTTTGATACTTTCTTTGGGTTTGAGGTAGCTATATAATTAATTCCTTTACAATCATGAAATCATAAATTTTACGTCTAATGACAAATTTATAAATAATAATATACTATTTTATTTTGTTTTGATAATGATTTTATTAATTCTTATTTATATAGATACCGACTGCTATGTTGCCACTTCATCAAGAAATCGGCCCAATTTTATCTGATACTTATCCAGATCTAACTCCAGCTCTTGATTCGTTTCTTAATACTCATCCTCGAACAATGTATTTCGCACTTGGAACTAATGTATTTACTTCTCCCCAAAATATTGCTATCCTTCTAAAATCTTGTCTTGAATTGATTAATCATAATATTATTGATGGTGTAATATGGGCTACCGTAAAAACAAATGTCACTGAATTAATGTCTCTCTCTGATGTTGACTCTCCTATATCAGATATTTTAAATAATAATTATCCTCACATTCACATCACAAAATTCGCCCCTCAATTCGCAATATTATCTCATGAAAACACCAAAGTGTTTTTAAGTCATGGTGGTGCTTCTAGTAGTCATGAATCAATGTATACGGCAACCCCAATGTTAATACTTCCAATAATGGGTGATCAATTCGGAAATGCTGAAAAATTGGAGTTGGCTGGTATGGCGTTAAGACTTTCAAAGCTTAACTTAACCGTTGATGACATAGTATTAAAGATTAAAAGGTTATTGAGTGAAGAAGGCTTTAAAAAGAATGCGGAAAGGTTACAATTTGTTGCTAAAGTAAATAGTAAAAGAAAATATAGAGCTGCGGATTTAATTGAAATGGTAATGAATACAATTAAATATGAAAGTGTTAAAGATGAGAATGGTGCTTTAAGTGTTAATAATAAAGCACTCCTAAGAGATTGGATTACTCCTAATACGAGAATGGGTTTCATAAGAGGAAATTATATAGATGTTTATAGTACTTTTATTGTTATTTTATTAGCATTAGTTGGTGGATTTGGTTATGTTTCATTTAAAACTACTAAATTCCTTTATGCAAAGTATAAAGGTAGAACTATAAATTCAAAATCGAAAAAAGAATAATCGAATACTTTTCATTTTAAGGACTATCTTTTATAGATTATCTTTCTTTATTATTTTAAAGATTACTTACTGTATATTTTTGTTATATGTTTCTTTGGTTAATTTATGTACGATGGTAAATGTATTAACGCATAATCGTTTAAATGGCAATAAATCATATTATATTAAACTTTTGAGTTATTAATTAGTTTATAATAATATCACTTATTGCGGGTTTGCAAAATTTAAGTTTTTTGACTTTTAGACCAGACAATTCGCGCATTTGTCTTTTTGTAAAAATTTGATTGAACATTTTAATGCGCAACTCTTATTTCTGCAAATATCTTACAAAATGATGAATATGCAACTTTTATTTCTATAAAAATTAACAAAATAATAAATGCGTAAATTTGTCAAATCTAAAAGTCAAAAAAAAAAAGTCAAATTTCACATAATTTTGCAAAACTGCAATAAATCATTAGTTCATATCATCAATCCAATCTCATCTCCGATTTTGTTAAACATCGTATTTACTGCAATTAATAATTGTCGCGGCTTAAGATTGAAACCAGGAACCTCGATTTAAAAATATAAACCCTACAAAAATTCACTTATACTCTTTTATTATCAAAACTAATCCTAAACCCTAAAAAAATACTCCCCAAAAAATTCTAAAAATTTCATATTAAAATAATTAAAAATTTAATTAATTAATTGATTAATTAATTTAGTTCAAAAATTGCCAACTACAATCAATTATTCTCGTTAATAATTCTGGTCAAATTTGCAGATTATTTGGACAAAACAACTTTAAATGTGGTCAAATGATCTGCAAGTTTGACCAGAATTATTAACGATGGTTTTATTGATCATGTGATGCAAATCGTCGTGTTTTTTTTGGTAGCCCGTGCAGTGTCTCTGTCTCATCCCTACTTGTCAATTATTTAGAATAATTGTTTAAATAATTTATTGGCTATGATCGGTTGTTTAATTGTATAACTGATTGTAAGTGTACATGTTGACAAAACTAAAAATCTCAAAATCCTACCAAATTCCAAATATAATTAAATTGTCTTAAATCCCAAATCCCAAAGCTCAAATTCCTATAGTTTTTGTTAGCAAGTTTAATTGTAAGCAAAAGAAACTTTCATATTTTTTAGAAAACATTGGCTTGTCATAAGATTGTTAATCAATCAAAAACAGATCAAAACAGATTATATAAGTTGACCTAACACATTATGTAATATTTGAAAGTTATTAATGTAGATTTTTTTCAATCAAATCAATTTAAATAATGTTTTTTGTAAATATAGAATAACTTAAGTTTAAGGATGTAGGTCTCATAACTTAGTGAATAAGCTCCCATACTCTCACAGTCAAGGTCAATAATTCAAGTCTAATTGGTAATAAAAACTAAAAGATTTTAGTTTTCATAAACTAAAAAAAAACCTGTAATTAAATATGAAGCTCTGTGGTCAAGTCCAAGTGCAGTAATGATAAAAACAGGAATTTTCAAAAAAAGTCTGATTTTGCAGCATACATATACTATATGTAATAATTATAACATAAAAGATTTTATTATATAAAGAGTTACATATATAAGTCTTTTGAAGACAGGACAGTACCAATATCTTTGCATTTAACTTGGAAAGTATTTAATTGAAAAAGTGATATCAAAGTAAAATAAACTAGATTAGTAAGAAAAGCAATGCATGCAAAGAAGATCTATAACAAAGAATTGGTCTTATTAAGATTAAAAGCATCTCTGGTACTATAAAATAACTAAAAATAGAAGATAATTATATATATAAAGAACTGGTAATCTATTTTGTACATCTAAAAATTTCAAACTAAATTTATAATTACACTTATATAGAAGCCTTCAGTAAAACAAATAGAATATACCAATATAAATATTATGCAAATAAAGGTTAAATACTTAAATTAGAAGTATTAAGTTTTATTTAAACATGGTATAAATATTCTAGTCTAAATATAAATTTGAATAGGTTATTTTTAAAAAGTCAAGAAGATTAATTGCAACTAAAAACAGAACAAAAAAAAATCTACAGTACTGAGTAACAGTAAGTAACTATAATAGCTAATAGCAAAAAGTGTATATCTATCTATTAAGATATTCTCAAAATTTAGTTCTATTTATACTATAAAATAGATTACTTAAGAGGCAGATTAGATGTACAATTAGTTAAAAATAATTCTAAGACTAAGAAGAGTTACAAACTAGCAGTAATAACAGAAACCTAACTTGAAATATATGCTATTAATATTTGAATTAAAAAGTCAGCAGTAGTAGCAGAACCTGGCTTAAGATATGTGCTAAAAAGGTATTTTTTAGATAAACTAAAGATAGAAGCTTAAAAGAAATAAACAATCTGATAAACCAATTTGAAAGTTGTTAAAAACAGATTGTAAGATATGTAAGAAATATGCAAATTACTTAATATAATCAGTAATTAAACAAAAATTTAGGTTAGATATAAATAAAACATAATACAGAGCTTTGGTAAATTTAAGTTGTAAGTAAGTTTTATATCTAAATGGATATATAGTAATAGATAATATATAATATAGAATTATATAAACAATAACAAATATATTAATAAAAACTAAACAGTATAACCTTACTTTAATACAAAAAATAACTTAGATTATAGAAAGTAGAAATAAAAAATTAAATGTCTTATATAATATATATAATTTATATTAATAATCTGTATTATAATTAAAAGAATTTATATATAGTAATTTGGAATTATGAAAAAAACAAATAGTTAAATTATATAAAGATACAAATAAATATACAATAATGTATTTAAACAAATAGGTATTTAATCAAGATTTTTTTTTAATATTATATAATTATATATAATTGTTATAATTTTTAAAAAACAATTAAAATTTAATATATATAAAAAGACAAAGTAAGAGGTGTGATGACTTAGTGAAGTGGATAAGTTGTCAACCCTTCAAGTGGTAGGTTGGGAGTTCAAAACCCACTACAGTAAAAATTTGGAAAAACATCTATGTATATTGATACTACAGGCATCTGTGCAATGTTTGAGTTACTTAGAGAAATGCAAACTGGCATTGGGTAGTACAAACTCAAGATAAGTTCTTGTATCCAGTATTACGGCAACAGCAATTTGTCAATCAGTTAGGATCAGTACCTGTAACATGGTCACACCAAATAACTGGCAGGTTATGGGGCATCTGTGCAATGTTGAAGTTATACAGAGGAATACAAACTGGCATCGGATAGTGCAAACACAAGATAAGTCCTTATGGCTGGGTAAATCTATAAACTGGAAAAACCAGAGCCTACTTGGAAAGACCCAAGTAAAGAGGTAATACAGATCTTCAACAGTACTACTGTAAAGGCTAGATCTAGGAAATGGATATTAATATAGAAGAAATCGGACAGGCAAGAACCTTAGATGAGGGGTACTACCAACCAGGCTGTTGAAAGTCTCAAACTGGAGAAAAAGAACCTTGGGGGGCAGACTCTAGGGTACCAGGGACAGGTCACAGTCCTACTAGACTATCTGAATTGGAAGTCTGGTTTTAGAAGCAGGGTATACTATAAGTAGTAGGAATATGTTGTGAAGTCAGTACTAGGGTTTAGATGAATTTTACAAGGGCAAGCCCTGTTAGCAAAAATTAAATGTGGGTAGTTAGTTAACAAGGAGGCTCCCTGGAGCCCTATAGTCAGGTGACATACTCTGAAATATATAACAGCCTAACTGACATACAAATAGAAAGGTTACGGTTAGGTTAGACAGTATCTAATTAGATGTATGGAAGCTTGTGCTACTATCTGCTAGTGTAGTATAGAGGTAACCTTGTACAAGTTATGTAATCATAGTTGAATTTACAATAAAGGCAGTAGCTACCATAACTAATGATTTTAGCAAAAGCAAAAAAAAAAAAAAAAAGACAAAGTAACTTTATTAAAAAAGAATTTAAATTATCTAAAGATAAGTTATATTTAATTTTTATAAAAATATTCTATTATCTATTATCATTAAATCAATGGTTAATTCTTCTTAATAATTCTCAAATTCTTTTTATAAAGAATTCATTTAATTTTTTCTCAATTAACAACACTGCTCATGGCTTAATATTATTGACTTCTGCTAACCCATCTATGTTGATACCTTAAACTTTCATTAATATTTCAAATATTAAATTATCAAAAAAAGATAATATCTACTTTCTTAATATTAATAATTATAAAATTCATGCATTTATCAATATATTATAACAAACTTCTTCACTACTTATACCAACTCAAATCTCAATTATATACATTCCTAAAATAAAAATACAAATAATACAAAAATACATATCATCTTTCAATTACCAAAATTAACTTATTGAATTATTTTTATTAGCAAAAAATCTTTCAAACAATACTCATTTCTATTGTTATTCTATATCTACTTTTTTTTAAGATAGTAGGTAACTAGAGCGACCTTAGACAGTGAACACTTATTGTAACCTCACTTGTTACTATGTTATAACTAAGTCAAAAGGTATTTTATTTTATAAAACTTAACAAAGAAAATTTAAGACAATTTGTAATTACAAAAGAGGCTACAATTAAAAGTATATGAGGATACTAATAACTGTTTAAATTAGGTAGTATAAACTAGTAGTTTATTAGTAAAAAAGTATGAAGACTCGATATTGAACTTGGGATCCACATCTGCTGCTTTTATACTTTTTAACTACATAGTAAATGTAATAGCCTATATCTTTTATATATACAAGATATTTTATAACTATTATTAATAAAATAAATAATATATGTTTGATATATAAAATAAATAAAATAAATAAACTAAATAATATATGTAAACTAAAGATAATATAAAATATAAATGCTTCAAATTACATAAATGTTATATATGTTATATGTATGATATTTCGCGCAGTTATCATCAACCAATCAGATTGCAGCTTTCTTATTAATTTGATTATTGGATTCGATCTTGTGATTT